ACAAGGCGCTGTGTGCTGGCGTTTGTGAGGGCGTGCAGGGTCTCTACGCTGAACTTGCTCTGCCTTGACCAGGGGACTGAATCCACTGCTAAATGGACTGGGGTCCTGGCTTGTATTTCTCAAGTTCGGAGAGCGCTCTGAGAGCCAGGCTTCGCAGCGGCCGCATGTACAGGCCATGTCCGGAGACTATATACATAGGTGTCGGCAGCCTGCAGTCTTTTGCACACTCTTGTCTGTATTATCTATCGCCAAGTTCCTGCTCAATTCAAGCACCTTCTGTTTGCGAGATCAAAGTATACATACAATGTCTCATCTTCCACCTCTCTTCTCTGGCGATGGCAAGATATCTGATCAGGGTGGTAGGGCCAGAACCGCCCCGACGGCCACGCTCACAGACGGTGCTAGCATCTATGGAATCTACACCCCCAGCCTCACCCACGACAGTACATTGTCTGAGCTTGTTGTGATGCCGTCGGCAACGGAGCCCACGGTCTTATTGCGCGAAATCCAACAGGCTGCCGATGACATATCACGGCTCGTAGGGCGATTTGGATTCAAGATGGCAAAAACGCTGACGACTCCTTATATCAAAAAGGCGCTTTTCGCGGACAGGAAACTGCTTCGACTACCGTGCCTAATGTACGCAGACGAGTTCTCCTGCGTAATCACAAGGTTCTGTTCCAAACCAATCCACGACTCGACTTCGGCACCGCTGCTGTGGTGGCTCTGGAACGAGCTACTCGACGTCCTGCCGCCGATAGGCGAGACGCGGAACTGCAGACTCGACTTCAAACCCGCCTTGAGGACTGACATAGCCCTGCCCTATGCGATCACCATCGACATTTCAAGCAAAAACAACAAAGACAACATCGAGCTTACTGCGTCGTATGGCGGGCTATTTGATGAGCGGCGCATCTTTGATGTACCTATCACGCAATTTGGCCTTCCCAAGTCGGAAAATTACGGCAAGCTGACCAAGGCTACCCTGGACATCAGCCAAGACCCGTACGAAGGAAACGGCTGCGTCGCTGACATTTTTGAATACCTCGTGCCTCGTTTGGAGAGCGAATGGCGGCGCGCCATGAACGCCTTCCCTGCAGAGAAAGAGGAGGACCTGGTCATCGCTCTAGCTAAGAGTGGCAAAGCGGGAGACGACCGCTTCCCCATATCGGAGAACCAACAACAGCAGTTCCGGAACCTGCTACGGCGCTTTCCGATCGACGCCAGGGAATACGTAGCCGAGAATGGGCTCGTAGGAATGGAGAAGGGACCGTACAGCGAGTCTGCATTCCAAGCCCCAGGTCCCAAGGACTAGGACGTGGGCGAGTGTTCATCTACCAGTGTTTGATCAGCGCCATCTTTCTCACCTTGCATTCGGACTTTTTCTGTCTCCACATAACCTAAGTAGATAAGAAAACCCGTATACGTACGTCTCCAAGTATAGTTCTCTCGCCGATATCTTTGAGCCAGCACTGCGAGTGAATTCTATGCTATCAATATACCTCTCGCGGGGCGTCATGTCACGCCTTGCAAGTAGAAAGGACGCTAGACTCATACCATCAAGACTAACCATACAAACCGTCCTGCCCTCGCGCTCATGTCCGCGGCGATATGCAACATTGAAACATGGCGAGAAGAAAGATGCAAGTGATAGAACTAAACCATTTGGATTGTTTCTACATCAAAGTTTCGACTTTGGGGCCTGTTCTGCTACCACGTCGTCCGTACGAGCCCCAAAAGCCGGCAGGGTCTTGATGAAGTCCTCCATGTCTCCCTCTTCAACCAACGGCGCCGTGATGTAGTCTTTAGCATTGGCCCTTTCCATCAGCGTGGGCAAGAGGGGCAGCAAGTTGGAGTATGCCCTGTTCTCGTCGTCCCGCAACGCAGATCGAGTGCCGTGGCCATGTTCGACAAACCAGGACGGATCCTTCTGAATGCAAGACTTTTCAAACACGTTGAGCACCTCGGGCGCGATATCGCCTTGCGCCCGGGCTGCCTCGTAGGCCATGCGCTGTCCAATGGCCTCCACCATTGCTCTGCATCGAGGGAGAACGCTGTTGTTGTAGGTCGTGCCCCTCAAGCTGCCGGATACGCCGAGTGCGAGGTTTTTGTCTCTCGCAACCTCTTCGAGCATCCCGGCTTCATACATGGCAAGAGATCCTGTCGGATCAGTCGGTTTTGGAAGACCATATCTGTTCATGAGGAGTTCAGAAGCGAGACCTAGGACGTGTCAGTGCCCATATCTAAGCTCGTGTATGAAGAAGACCTACGAATGCTTATAACGAGAGTGTCGCCCTCGGCCACGGAGTTGCCCTGGAAGGTTGATGCCAGTTCGGTTATCTGATTGTGCGCGTACAGGCCCTGCCAGCCACATCGCTCCGCCAGCTCGTGAAGTAGACGAGACGATCGCACAACCAAGACTTTGAAGACGGTAGCGATCCCTCGGCGGACGTCTGCGTTGTGATTGTGGTTGGTGAACTCGCCAACGCTCCACTTGGCATATGCATGCAAGACTTCCCCGTGCGCCAGTGCTTCCAGGATCGGTCTCTGCTGTGTGCTGAACTGCATGATGGGCAGTCTGTTCCTATCTCCGACCAGACGACGCTGGCTGTACAGGGCGGCGATGCAGCCCGCAACTCGGATGGCAGACACCCCCATGATCGAGAGTGAGAGCGTGCCGACGGATACCCTCCAGATGT